GTCGGAACCATCCAGACGGCATGACGAGCCAACTCAGAAAACCTCGACTCATACTGTGACACAGTCATATCCCCCTGTCATAACCACTCAAACTGTCTACGCAGCTCCTCTCTGTGGGACTGTGGTACATACTCCTCCAAGAAGAGAGTGGAGAACTCATGCCAACTAAGGGGCGTTGCTCCAACCGTCCTACGCCTCTCATACGCCTCCCACCAAGTGAAGGCATCCCCAGTAAACTGAAAGGTGGTAAATGCCACACCACTAGTCTTAAGAATCCCTGCTATACGAAGCATCCGCTGATACTTATCAATAAAACCCTAGGCATCCTCGCCCTCAACACCACTGAATGACGGAGGCTGGAGTCTACCAAACCTCTCAGGACGACGTTACTCATCATCCGGCATAACTGGCACAACAAACTCCTGAGCTGGTGCAACCGACTGAGCTGGAGGTGCCCCCGTTGTCTGTAGTCCCTACACTACCTGCTCAGGTGTGCGAGCAGCGGGGGTCTGATTGCCTCCCCCGGCCTGTGAAGTAGCTACTGCTGTAGTGGATGAAACTGCCTAAGCCAGGCCAATGCAAACTGATAAGATCTGTGCCAAGTCCTCTTGAAGACCCGAAATCACGATGGGCACAGCTGGTGCCTGAACTAGTGCTGCTGGAGCATCCACTAGTTCCAAGTGTCTGTCTTTTATTCTAGTTCAATTGTAGTAGATGGTTTTATATTGTACCTTTAAGCTTTATCTAGAGGCAATTGTAATAGGTACTCAGAGTATTCAAGTTAGAGTTAACTTGAAGTTGTCGCAACAGTTATAGGCCGTGTGCTACAAAGGGATTAAAGTTAGTCCTAGGTTTACAAAAGAGTTTTTTTAATGCAGTTTTTGGCTCCGTGATTTTAGTGGAGAGTTTGGAAAAGTTCTACTGGAAAGTAGGTCGTGGCTTTTTCACCTTTTGAGCCAGGTGTTTTCCACATAAAATACTTGTGTTCTTTACTTTCCACATTTACTATTTCTGCAATAGTATGTTAAGGAACACTTAAAAGAACCAGGTCCTTCCATAATCAGTTTAAGCAAAAAATTGGTCACCTCCCCCCCCTCCTGTGTGGTATTGAAGTATAAAACATCAATAACTTAGGAATTGTTCGAGCTTGTATTCTTGGTGATAATAAAAAATTGTAGCTAAACCTTAGTTCTCTGTGGGATTCAACTCCGGACTCTTAGAATGAATAATATTTGCAGCGATCGCTTATCCTTTCTAGGACTAGAGTTGGGCGTAATCAAATTTTGGCATTGTTGTCGGGAAACTAGTGGTGTAGTTGTAGTTATAAATATTGCTTGGTGTCAAGTTTGAACTTTTATTTTGTTTTATTTGTATTTTTTTTAATTTTATTTGAGAGACATGGAATCTTGGGAATTATGTGAGGTTTGATGTTAGTAATTCTACTTTTGATCCTTCTTTTGCATATTATGGAGGAAACCAAACATGACAAAATTATCAAAATATTTCAGAGAGTGAGTTATGGGCGCCAACTCAATATTATATGTGGAATGTATGTGATATGTTTGGTAGTCAAGATAGTCACTTTTATGGTGGTATTATATTTCTTATCCTTCATCCCTTATTATGATGGTTCTACTTTTACTTCTAAGGTTAATAGGAACAAAGAACCTGGGAATGCTGACCTAAAAGAGACCAAGAATATGCTAAGGTACCATGTGGAAAAAAATAATGACACTCAATTACGGATACAAAGGCAAGAGGCAACTATTCACAACTTGAAGACTCAAGTGAGTCGAATGGTAGAAGCTTTGAATGTTCCAAAAGTCAATATTGTGGATAGAAGCCGAAAACAATATGAATTAGAGTCAACAGTTGACACTCTGGTGGAGGAGGTTAAAGTAGAATACCAACAACCTATCCAACTATAACTTGAGGAAGCCGGTGTTGAAGACATGATACTTGAGTTAGCCGAGGATAGTAAAGATACAAATTTTGTTGATTCTAGTGTCATTGATATTGAGGATGTTGAAAGTCCTGGAGTGCACATTGGTCCTCACTCCAAGCATTTTTTCACATTAGGTTTTAATGATGATATGAAAATAGAGTTATCCGAACCATACATTCTAGAACTTTTCATGAGAGAAAGACAAGATTACGTACCTCATCTAAAGGCAAAAAAGTGTAGAATAGTACAGTGGTTATTTGGGCCAACAAGATTTATTCCACCACCCCTGGTGAATAAATGCAAACTTGAAGCCAAATTGGGGGTCCAATTTATAAGCTCGAGGTGGAGGCAAAACGTGGTTCATATCGTGCCACGACGTTAAATCAAGACCTTATTGGGAGGCAATCCAACTTTACCGCTTTCTTTTATTTTTAGTCTTTTTATTTGTATTTTTTTTTGTAGTGTCGCTTTTTTTGGAGAATGGGAAGCAAAAGCTATTGGAAGGATGCCACAACAAGCTAGATGGTTAGAACTAAGTGTGGGGTACCCGCACAAGAGTCATGTCTGGGAGAAGTCTGGGTACCCACTGAGCTGCTAATGCTTCGGCCTTTGGCCTACTAGGGAGTTTCTTTTACCCTCTTGTATTTTTGGGTGTGCATTAGGGACAATGCACAATTTTAAGTGTGGGGTGAAGAGACTGTTTGTGTAATTTTCTATGCTATTTTAGTTGTATTATTTTATGTGTGTAGAAAATAATAAAAATAAATATCAAAATAATAATTAGCTAGATATAATCCCTCTTGATTTTTCTTATGGCCACGGTTCTTTTCCAAGGGTTGACTCTTTGAACCACGTAGTATTTTTTTTGGTAGGTAGAATTTTTAAACGGTTTTGGACTTTTCCCTACGATTGACTAGACAGTTTTCTTGAGGGTTTAAAGTCTAAAGAAAAATACAAAAAGATTTTTTTTTTCAACTGATAATGGAATGGGGAGAACTTGAGTATCTATGCCTTTTGACATGTTTTATGTTGGGGCTTAGAGGTGGAGCATTTGTGATGCGTATCTTCTTCTTGATTTTTGCGACTATATGCCTCGAGAATATGTGTGACTTTCTTTTGACGCTTGGACTCGTTTATTGAATCCTATTGTTACTTTCTAGTGTTTGGATTATATAATGACTGTGCTAGTTGCTTTAACTTGAGAGTCAGGTCTTAGCTATCCTAAGTAAATCATGTGCATTGTGTGAGGTGAGATTTTGGTTGTACTCTGTATCATCCTTTGTTAGTCTAGAACTTTCCCCGTGTGTGAGTCGAAGCAAAAAGATTAAGTCTTGTGAGTTGAGGAAATGATATAGGCATTTCTTTGATTGACCCTTGAACCTATTTGCCTACCAGTGATAACATTATCCGTAGTCAGTCCTTTTGAGCCTATAGACCTTTTTCTTTGGCACTAACATTACAAGCCAACCTCTATTTTGTTCTAAATTTTATCTTGTTTACCTTTTACTTCCGAAAGCACTTAAGTCGCTGAAAGAGTAAAGAAATAAATTTGGTAGCTTTTTAGTGGAACCATAGAAAGGACGAAAAGGTGCACTTCTATTTAAGAGATGTACTCGCCACAAATACCAAATTAAGGAGAGTGAAAAAGAAAGAAAAAAATAGAAAATAAAAAATGAATGACACCTCCCATATCTTTATTTGGGCTAGTGTGTATCTATATTTTGATGTGCTTAATGAAGAATGGCTTAATTGTGTATAGTTCATAGCAAGATTTTGAATTGGTCATGACAAGAAAATGTGCTTAAAAGTGAAGTGTGATATACTAAAGTGCTTAGGAGGGTTAGTCACTGTTTTTCTCTATATATATCCTACTTGTTCTTTAGCCTACATTACAACCTACAAAGTCCTACTTGATCCTAAATTTTTCAAGCTTAAATTAGTCAAGTTTTATACTATGGGCAAGACTATGGTACGGACTTGTGAGGCATACGAGTTTTATTGTGAGAGCTAGTGAAGTTTTTCAATATTTGAGTCCTTAGATTATACTTGAACTTATATATATTTAAGTCTGTGGACTATTTCTCCCTGTAGTTTGGTGGTGAGTGCACATGATTTGCAAAGGATTGGAGAAGTTCTTGGTTTTTGAGTTGGCACAAGAAGCAAGTTATAGAATGGAACGTAGAGGAGTCAATTTTTGAGGTTAAGATATTAGAAGAGTCACATAAATATTTTAAATAGTCTTGGCACTGGTCTAAAAATGAGGAAAGATGTCAATAGCCCTTATGTTGGATTCTAAGCGTTGATACAAACCATTGTCATTGCTATGATGCTTGAGTTTGTTTTGGAATTGGGTTACTTGCCATGTGCTTAATTTTAAGTTGCTCGAGAACGAGCAAGAGTTTAAATATGGGGTAGTGAAGAGACTGTTTGTGTGATTTCCTATGCTATTTTAGTTGTATTATTTTATGTGTGTTGAAAAATAATAAAAATAATAATAATTGGGTAGAAATAGTCCCTCTTAATCTTTCTTATGATTGAAAAGCATTAAGTTTAATTTCTAAGCATAGAAAAATTAACTTACATTCATAAAAATATAACTAATTTTTATTAACTTTCTATCTTATATATGTCATTTTTCCACATGTATATTATAATATAAATTTTAATTATAATATGTAAAAAATGATATTGTTTGAGATTGTCAATATTGAAATTTAATATCGAGTGATCTTTGTTAGGGATATAGTAGATATGCCCTAGATCCAATATCACATTTGATGTTTTGAACATATTTTTATAAAATATATATGGCANGAATTGAAACTTAATATCGAGTGATCTTATGATTCAACTTTCTATCATCATCTCTTGATTAAACCCGATCATTATTAAAATAACTTAATCATGTATAATTTATTATGATTAGCGAAACAATTCTTACTAAAGCAAGAACGAGAAAAAGGCTCAAATTTTTTCATACACTGAAAAATAGTTTCCAAGAGAATCTATTTATAAGAATCTATTGTTATATAAAAAGATTTCTCAACAATGCAAGTGGATTCATAATACTTGTAGATTATTTCGTACAAGGATCTTAAGGAGGTCCTAATTAGGAAGTGTACTGCCAACCGTAACTCCCTAACAGCTTAATATACAATTGAGTTAAAATGAAACAAATATGTAACTACTTTCTCAACATAGAAGAATGAACCTTAAGGTGAGCAACAAATGGCAGCTCAAATTTCGATGGAGTCCACAAGTAGGGCATTAATGTGAGGTTTTAAGACCTTTTCCGGATGAGTGTATCCATCTAAATTGTGTATATATGTAACCTCAACAATACGAGCAAGATTTAGAATACGACATAAAATCTCCGTAGATACAGGGGTGGGCCTAAGAAATCCTTCATTAAGATCCTTCCATGCTGCTTCAGCCATTCCTTGAAATTTAGCCATTGCCTCTTTTGTTGATATGCCATAATCTCTCATGCAGCACTCAATTCCTGTTGCAATTTGTCCCCTACTTTTCTCAACCTGAAAGGCAGATAGATTAGGGGTTAGCTTTTATATTGCCTCAATTGTCGTCACAAACATTTTGTTTGTCTAAATCTCATATAAGTATCGATATACTATCGTGAGATATAACTCATACCTCGTATGTTGCTGTGTCATCAATAACTCGGCATATAATCACACTAGCTTCAAGAATTTTAGGGTTCTTTGACAACCACTCAAAATCCTGCTCCGTAGCAGACTTCATACCCAAATATGATGTTGTCGCAAGGTAGTAATATGTAGTAGTTGCTAGTGCATTGCTTAGGTATTCAGAAACAGGTGGCATATATCCTTCAATAAACCATGTTGACTCGACATTATAATTTCTTACTACTTCTTTCATCTGTGAATACAAAACATACATGTTCAAATGTTAGAAATTTTTGATTAACTGTATCAAGTTTATGATCACTAAAAGACGTATACAAGGTAAAATAAAGTGAGAAATGGAATAAGGAAAAAACATATTTCGATAGTTAAGTTGATCAAGCATACTCTTTCTATTGCGTGGCTGACAATATGAGATTTTCCAGCACTAGACAATTCCTTTTCATAATCTTTGTAAAGATCTAGAATAGCTTTGTAACTGATTTTCATGTAATCAGGAAGCCGATCAATTTCGTTGATATCCCATCTGCAGGATGACAAAATTAAGACGAACTCATGCATTTTGAAAGACCACAAATATAATGAGTAGATGTTCATCTTAATGTTTTCACGACGACGTTTATATCAAGAAATATCTCAATAAGCGAATTGATGAAGTTCATACCTTCGTATGGCATCTGTGTATGTCTCAAGTTCTTTAACTGTACCATAAGCATCAAAAGTGTCGTCGACAATCGAAATCATTGATATGGTCTTAACGAGCATGACGCGAGCTTGAGAGTATTGAGGCTCAAAATAAACTCCTAATGCCCAAAAGTAGCATTCAACTACTCGATCTCTAGCATATGGAAGTGTTGTTACGAAATCCAAATCTTTCCACCACCTACATCATAACAAATTAACATCAGTACTTGAGATATGATCAATCAAAAAGGATCCATTGTTTTTATATATCGCACCTTGATACTTCAGCAAGTTCTTGTTTGTGCAACATTTGGAGCAAGTTGAAATCCAATTTGGAAAATCGAAGTAACATGTCATTCTTTGATTCCTCCTTCTCGTAGATTGATGAGATGAAGAATCGAGTCTCAACTCTAGGAACGCCCTTGTGCAAACATTGCTCAAGGGCACGTGTCACTTGCTCCCTAAGTGGAGAATTCAAATGTGGAGCTGCAGATTCAAGATGGATAGTGGAGAAAGCAAGTGCGTCTTCTAAGATATCGTCAGCATGAGTCCTTACATGTGAAGCTTCATACAAGTTCAATAATCCTAAGACATCACTAGCAAGAGATTCCTTGAAATTGCCATTTTCGTCTTGGAATTTGCTGAAAATTTCTGGTATTTCAAGATAGAAAGCTCAAGATTAGTTAACCTTCTTTCAATAAATGGATAATAATTTTAACAACAATATTA